TAAAAGTCTGAAGGTCCAACTGTTTCGTTGAATCAAAGTATGATGTGACATTGAAAAATAGCCCAAAGCGACACGGCAATGTATTGTTGGAAACACGCTAGCGTTTGCTGCTCCTCCTAAATTCACGAAGAAAAACGTGTTGACTTAATTGTCGGGGTAATTTGTTATTTATTGGTTATTATATAATCATATTAATATTAATATGTCTTTAATATTTATTGTAAAAAATATTTATAGTTAGTATTCTAATATATTTTTATTATTAAAGACTTTTTTATTGCTCTCTAATTGTAATAAAATATTTATAAATCCACTATACAAATTATTGCAATTCTAGCTTTCCTTGAGTACTACTGCCCATCAATTAATGTCATTTTGTGCTGAGGAATCCAAGCAATTAGTGAATTAGGAGAATCCAAAGTTGTAATAAAGCGAGAAAATCTAGGATTCTCATTGATCACAAGAATTTGAATAGATATGTAAAATATTCATAAAATATTTATAATATATTTGGACATCTTTTTTTTGTATGTAGTATTAATTTTTTATGTCCATAATATTTTCATATTTTTTTATTTTTAAATTTACCTGCTATTTTGAGTTATGAATTGATGCATACTAGAAGATTTACGACACTAGAGTAATATATTATCATCTTAGCATTGTACGAAACTTCAGTGCAAACAGAAGATAGAAAACAACTAGTAGTGACACCTAAAGTTCTTAAGTGGAAAACTCGTAAAGGGAAAAATCATGGGATATGACTCAGCTGAAGAGTTCCACTATAAAATGATGATTGCAGTCGCAATCACTTGAGTTGCAAGGTTCGATAGTAATAAACATTCTCGTAGGGGTCAGTTGCCCCTTTATAGTTGTCGTCCTAGAGTTTGAAGCCTGCTGGGATATGATGTTGGAGAACCGCCTCTACTGAGGGAGAGAATTCTTGAAAGTTGTGGTGAGTGCGAGGCGATGCCTTTTATCTAAGGGGAACTCTTCCCTGACAAGGCGTTGTAGCTTGTCACGAATAACATCATTTGGAATGACAATAAGGTAGGGCGGTGTCTGGTGAGTTGCGAGAGATGAACAAGTGGAGCGGGCAATATCTAAGAGGCCAGCATCCCGTCTTGGTAGGGGAAATGTTTCATTCGGGGTAGCCAGTACGACTATTTTCAAGCGGTGCATTTCTCGTAGCTCATTGAGTTAGTGGTAAACAAATTTCATTCAATGGTGCGGGTGGCACCTGTTGAGACCTGTGTAGGTGTTGTAGGATCTCTAATTTGATCTTCCAGGAAAAGAACTCGAGACACCTTCGTCGGTAGGATAACATCTTCTAGGGCAGGAAGATGAAGAGGCATGCCACCCTTGGCTTCGCGATAGCTCTGTAAAACTATGGGTTTGGAGCAGGATGCTCTGTTGTCACGGGTATTGAGTCTAGTGGTCATTTAGTGAGCCTCACAAGTTCTTCGATGGTGATATTGTGGTTTCCCACAAACGACGCCAAACTGAGTGCAACACTAAAACAATAATTTATTACTATACTGTCAAAAATCTTCTAGTACTTATCAAAAATAAGATAATAACCTTTTATAGTTTTCATCATTATAAAGTAATGATCATTTTTATTTATTTCATATATATTAAATTTATGCATAAAAATATATTACTTAATAAATATTATAATATCATGTTAAAAGTATGTATGTTTCTTTTATTTATTAAAAATAAATGTGTTATTTGTCTGTGTTGTATCATATCGACGTTCAAGTGTTGGCATCGATACATTTTAGGGTATTTTTATTAATCAAAAGAATTTATTATTTTAATTTATAAAAAGTTATGAAAATATTAAAGTTAAAATTAGCATCTTAGAAGGAAATTTTTTAAAATAAATTATTAATGTCATCCCAACTCCCAAGGAAAGTAGCATCAACCCTTTTCCAAAGATTTTTAGTTAAATTAAATAAATAAAATAGTTCAAATTAAATCATGTTAGAAGTGATATACTCTTGAATAAAAACAAAAAAAATCGAACTAGAATAGTTGACCCAAATAACGGAGATCCATTTTCAAACATATGGCCGACCGTTAAATATTTGACCGTAATGGTTGACCGTTAAATTGTTGACCACGGTTGACCTGATCAAAAGGAAAAGTTGGGTTGTAACTTCATGTTTGGTCGTTAAAGAGAACTTTGACCGCAATGTTCTCACACAAAAGAAATACAGGGTGGGAAGGATCTATAGAAATTAAAATAAACTAGGAGTTTTCTAGAAATAAATTTAGTAAAAATTATTATTTTTTCCCAATAAATTTATTTTGACATCAAGATCATTAAAAAAGACTAATTAATCATATATATGCATAGTAAATACATAAATAAATTCATTCATAGAACATAAATTCAAATATATTGAGCTAAATTTTCTCATTGGCGGTTTGTTCGTTGGCATGCTAACTTCATTGTCCATGAATTGGCCAGCGTTGATAACCCTCCGCGCAAAGAACAATGAGTTATTTAATTAATTATATATATATAGTGTCATCGTTTCAAATTATTCAAAATCTTCTTTCTGGTTATATATATATATATATATATTGTATCTCTTAATATTAGATTAGAAATTTTTTTTATAAAATCAAATAATTAATTATCTTTTTTTAATTTGCATCAATTTTATTAGTAAATTTTTAAAATCAATTTAATTAATTGGTATCTTTTTAAAATCATAATAGATTAAGTATATTATCATTAATTTTAATATAAAGATGTCGAAAATTTTTTAAATTTAATTTATTATATATTTATTTAATGGTTTTTAAGAAAATTACTCTGAAGAAGATTACTTAATCAACTTAATTTATTGTTAATATTTTTTATTATCTGTAATGATGAAAATCATTATAAAGCTATAAATTGATTGAAGTTAATAGTAATTGTATACGCTAGAACTAACTGCATGAATCTCAAAGAGAACGAACGGTCGAAAATAAAAAGTTTTCCTCAAAGGTAACAGTCAACCGACAAGTTACCACTAAGCAGGTGAAGCCGCATCTTTAAACCTATGACAGGTCAAAGCTTTGAAGATGGTATATCGCTTGACAACGACAAGATACGCCAAGGGTAAGGCCTAAATCATCATAACGACAAATCACGTCGGATAACCCACACAAGCAACAACAAGATTTGCCTAAGACCTTGCAAATAGGGGCTTCCAACCGGGACGACAAACCGACAAGATGGACGAGATGCAGGCCCCATAAAACTTGAGCCATAATGACAAGTGAGTTATGATTCACCCGATAAAACAAATTAGCTCATTAGTCAACCAAATGAACAATCAAAGTGCAGGCAGAAAACCCTTCAAATTGAACGACTGACCCACTTTTGTCATATTAGACAAGATCACCATTCAACCGAACGCCTCGGTTAACCAAAGACAAGACATGATCGCTACCCAGGCGATCGCCTCAGTCTCCCAAATTCTAACAAGTCGTTCAACCAATTACACAGATATCAAAATTCAAATTGTAATACATACAATTTATTAGAGAATTGATCATATTAAGAGTTTCCATAATTGTTTCATATTTTCTATAATTGTAATACAAAATTCAAATTGTAATACATACAATTTTCATAATTGTTTCATATTTTCTATAATTGTACAAAATGCACTCCTATAAATAGAAGACAAAAATACGAATGAGAGGACTCTCCCTGGTTCTCTCCACATTAATTTTTGATTCAATTTATTTTCTTCATCACTCGGCTTTAACTCCCATGTCGTGTTCACAAAAGACAATCCAAGTTCTAACAGTAATATAGATATTTGAAAATGATTTATATATTTTCTATCTCTCTTGAAAAAAACAATATTTTTTTAATTAAATAATTAGTTGTAGCTTAAGAAAAAGTGTTGAATTCTAATTAGTAGATAGAAAAAAAAATTTATGGCTATATTTTAAAATAACCTTTTTCCGGATGAATATAAAATTAAATTCATTTTAAAATGAGTAATATTTATAAAAAAGCTCAATAAAACTTAAATTACTTTAATTTCAACATTAAATGAATTATATTAAGACTATATGGTTCATTTTTTTTTTCTAAATTTAATATTAAAATATATTTAACTTCAGAAAATTTGTAGAAGAGATGAACTAGATGGCCCATCTGTGGTCACATCAGCCGGCAATTTTATCTTTTTGGTAATTTAATTTAATTTTTTTTAAATTACTTTTTTTAAAGATTATATATATTTTATTTTAATTCCTATTTTTAAAAATTAATTTTATTTCTATGATATATATT